AGGTTAACTTATGGTAGACTTTATTGGGTTAGACCATAGTATGATAAGGATGGCTCAATCAGGGCTAATTGAAACACATTTTTAGCTCCATGTCTAAATAAAGAAGAAAAAAGGACCCTCCCTCCTTACAATCACTGTACTGGCTTGTTATTATGGCTTTGAAAATGAAATGAAAATGATTTTAAGAATCAAATATTACCTTGTTGATATAAAAAAGAGTTTGTTATATTGCCAACAAATGTAAATGGTACTTTGGCCCATCCTATCTTTAGCATCTGTCTGTTTTTCACTACATCTGAAACACATGTAGGATATCTTTTCTTTGTCATTGACCATAGAAAGTTAAGTCTTTTCCCAGAATTTGCAGTATCAATGGGGTCAGTGGATGAACATATGGCTTCAAAAAGGAAAACATAATTTGTTTTACTCACTATCTTTGGTGCTATCTATAAGTTTGGCATGAGGATTTCATTAAATTCATCTTTTTAAGTTACTAGTCAAACAGAAATGAATTTCCAGATTACAATGCTTTGAAGTTGTTTTAATGGACTAACCATGTTTTGACAGTACTGTCAGTTGTTAGTTTCAGAGTAATAGAAAAATTGTATAAGTGGCTTTGCGCTTGACACTAAGCACTATTTAAAGGGGATATTACTAAGATTGGTCAGTGTATGTGACCAGACTTAGTATTATGTCAATGTGACTATAGGGGTAGCAGCCAAATTTTTTTTTGAGAGTTTCAATAAAAAAATATCTTGATTTCCAAATCTCAGAGAGCTTCCATTATTAGCCAAACCCCAGGGTGGCGGAGGTCACCATGACTTCCTTACCTCCCCTTTGGATCCATGTATGATCTATATAGGATATGTCAGGCAGCTTTCGGGTGCCAACATTTGTTTGGCTCTTAAGTTGGTGCACTGCATGCCCAGTTTTGGTGATCTTCAAAAACCTAGGAACCAGGATGACCGCGCTTACATTTGTATGGACTGATGGTTTGTAAATTTTTGATGTCACTATAGTCTAACCATTGGAAGTTTTTGCTTTAATCAGACTGATGTGGCCAGAGTCAGCAACCAAACCCTGCCTCAGTTTAACAGGATATTGCATAAAGCAACACCAATATCACTGGAAAACTATAGTGAGTGACATTTAAAAGTCAAGCACACAGAATCAATAACGATCATATTTTTATGACAATATAATGCATTTTACATGTTGGGTATCGTTATTGCATGTCCATGGTGTGGTATTTCGATGATGCAAACACTATACACATATTACCATAATTGTGCTTTTTGCAAATGAGAATTATTTAGAGAGATGTAAAAATCAGGCACACTTATTTTGTCCTTTCCGCACTTTGAATATCAAAAGTGCACTTGTCCATTTAAACATTTCTCAATTTGAAATAGACTGAATAGAAAACAGAGCAGACCAAGATCAGATGGAATGCATGTGTCAGTTGATCTTGGTTGTGCATTTATTGTATGGGAAGAATCTACCGGTATTTGCAAATGAAAATTATTTAGAGTGAGGACATACTCAGCCCTTGCCACTATGATATAGGATTGTCCATTTAACAATTTGTCATTTTTAAGCAAACAATACATGTGCCGGCTGACCTTGGATGTGCATTGATCATATGGGACTTACGATTCAAGCTTAATTGAGAAAGCTGACATCAGTTAAGTTCCAAAAATAGTCCAGTCCGGCTAAATAGAAGGGCTCTATAACTACTTATTGTTTGCCGACAGTCACATTTTAAGAAAAAAATGAATAACATTCGTTATAATGAGGAAGAATTTTAATGAATGAGTTTATATACTTACTACTACAGGCTCGGTAAAGAATAATTTAATCAACATCACAAATATTACGGTACATTAATGACCTAGAAAGTTATGCGTAATTTAGGAGTATATATTTATATCCCGTGGTAATCATGATGGGATATGTTTGTAGTTGCATTAGTGTCTCCCTCATTAAAGGTTTTTATATCTGCTTACGGACAAAATGTCAAGCTACGTAATTATTCAGAAGGTAGATTTAGCTGTTTACACTTTGCCTCTCGCCTAAATCACTTAAATTACTGTTTATATTTGTCGAAATGTCGTACATTTCCGCTACTATTCTGTTTAAGACGAGCTTTATCTATTTTCACCTTTGCTTAAAGAAAAAAATCAAGAAAAAAAACAAGCGAGGTATATGAGTTTTTACGTGTTTCATGTTGGATAATCGGTACTGCGAGGACCTGTGCTTGCAGTAGAAACACGGGTCTCATATCTCTAAATCTCAATTTTAGTGTCCCTTACTTTGCTATTTAGCTGTTCAAACATCAAAACAGAGTTAGTTTCATTATACAAATTCAGAAGGGATTACTAGTATGCTGTTTGCTTGAATTTGAAAAGAATTTGATTTAAACTTGATCAGTTGTTCTGCAGATTCAGTTATGATGCTGAACAATGATTTAATTTATCAATAAAACTTGTTAGGTTCTGGACATTTATTTCTACATTCTGCAGAGTCAAAAATGTGGTAGTTTTGTTTAGCACCAAAATGGAGGGGCATCTACAGAATTGATTATACCACACTTTGTGTGACCTTTTCTTGTCTCCTGAGCCAATCCCCTGGAGTATTGGGCTGGACTTAAACTTCATTTGTGCAAAATACTTCAAAATAGTAACTGTTACACATTTTTACAGAGGGAGAAAAAGCATAAAGCTGATTCCGTAACGATGAACTCCTTAATTTTTTCTTTTCTTAAAAAATGAAGATCAAAACAAATGCCTTGATGTGTAAATGATAAACTCTTTAAAATGATGTTTCATTGTCAGAGGCTGTATCATGTAACATGTTGACATTAAAATCAGTTTTGTTTGGTATTTTGACATTACAATTTCTTGTGTGAGGAGGTAAAACTCTCATGAAATGTGAAATGAAAGATTTTTACAATAAAAAAGTTTATAGTGTGGTTTATTATTACATCTACTACATCATAACAACTGTCATACTGGTGTGTCATTGTATAGTTAAATGTGATATTTGTATGAAGTTTGTCTAGGCCTGTAATAGTCATCTTTGGGGAAAAAATATGTTGATTTTACTTTTACTTCATCTGGTGATTTTGCTTTTACTTAACCTATTGATTTTTACTTTTACTTTACTTTTTCTTGACCAATTCACATTAAATTTTAGACCTAATTAAGATTTACAAGATTTTTGAGTGAGTATTTGAATATTTCACCATCTTAATATACTGCTACCATTGTTAAAAGTGGTTGGTTTGTGTGTCAGTGCCCTCAGATCATGGTCTGCACTGTTTGCTAGTCAGTCAGTGCATATTCTAAAACTGAATGAATGTTTTTTGTCTGGATTGAAAGATGGACAAGTCCATTTAAGATATTTAGCGTGGTAAATTATGATAGGCTATACAATCTAAATAAAACCTTGACAGCTCACATTTGTGAGAAGTCAGACCAGATCTTTAATACTATTGGCTGTTTGATTTCTAAGTGTTTTTGTATCAAAATTATCCCTGAAACTAAAAATTATCCCTCAGTGGACACTTCAAAAATCAAAGCATGACAGGTGCTACAATCAAATTTAGTGAGGATTATCTGAGCAAACTTTCACAGACTTTTAAGTTATAAGATTCCACACCTTAAAGATTGTATCGTTTAATGAAATAAATATTAATAGCCTAGTGGATATATAAATAAGCTGTCTGTCCTCTCAGCCCCAGGGGGTCACATAATCTCAGCCCCGGGGGGTCTCAACATTTTTTCCTCACATATAACACCAGTACTGTACAGACCAGGAAGCAGACTTAAAATTGATTGAACTAATGTTTAATTAATTGAGAGCTTAAATAATTATGTGAAATCTGAAATTAGAATATGATCCTGCTCTTAAGTTATGTAACTTAAGTTATTGAAACCTAGAATTAAATAATGAACTCAATTATAGTGATTAATTATTTTTAAGATATGCAACTTAAGTTATTGAAACCTATTAGCAATATAAATTTTCAGCTTAAAGTAAAGCAAATCCATGTTCAGGAAGTTAGCATGGTAAATTACAGTAGTTGAAATTGAAAAGAACCTGTCATGTTTTAAAAATTTCGATATTAAATACACAAAACAATTCATAGGTTTAAATTCAAGACAGGACAAATCTATTTAACAAATATAGCATAGTAAAGCATAATGAATTGGATGGACTTTGTTTTTGATATAAAAAAATGCATCAGATGGTACATGTATTCTAAAGCTATTATAATTAATGACCATTCTGTGTAACATATTAAGAATATGACAATGTTACTTTTTCGTATAATACTGGTAAATACTAATGGTACTGTGTAAAAGTAAAAATACTCTCCAATGTCATAAAAAATAACTAAGTAAAAGATGTAACAGTTGATCTTTTGGCCATGATATATAGCCACACTAGATGTTTTGGCAAATGTACAGATATATTTTATGCAAACTCCTACACATTGAAGGCTTATAATTATCCCCTTGCAGCATATATGTAGTTGACCGGTTACATATAATTTGTAGTATAAAATTTATTTAATTAGCCCATTGCACATGTTGGTCTGTTCATCTTAAGACTAGACCTTGTCTAATTAATAATTCGAGAATACATTAGCCTATTGTTATAGTGTCTGATGGGAGGTTGGTCATGACCTGTAATATATAATCATGTACCCCTGTTGAGGTCAGAAGGTCAAATGTTAAGGTTTCAATGACCTTGGCTAGAAAAAGCTTATTTCATCATTAACTAAAGGACATTTTGACCAACAGTCATTTTGATGGGTAAGCTGGTCATGACTGGTTGAAGATTACTATGGATTTTGACATCAGTGGGTCAAAGGTCAAAGTTACAGTGACCTTCACCACAAAGCTGACCTTTAGTATTCAGGTTTTGATAATATGGTTGGTAAAATGACATTTTGGTTGCCAATGATAATGAAAGTGTTATATTTATGATTTCAGCACTGTCACTAGCATCAAAGTCTTTCTACTCAACAGTAGCGGAGGTTTACGAGCCAGAGTGGGAGAATCATGCTCAAATTACAGAAATACTCACAGTAAGTTACACAAACTTTCTTTTTTAAGTGGCGGCGGTCCGAATGGTTAACAGGTTTACTAGTAGTCTAAGGACTGCTGACCTCCTGGGCTCAAACCCCGTCAGGGACCAAGCCGTTGTTTCCCTGAGCAAGAAACTTTACTTTCATTGCTTAGTACTGGTTGGTTCCAGGAATGGATTCAAGAGTGTTTCAAACTAAAATTAATTAGAATAAACTAAAATTTCTTCAACCAAAATATTTTTTTTAAAACCTAAAGACATATAGGGATCACTTCACCGTCGTCTGTCTGTCTGTCTGTCCGTCTGTCCGTCCGTCCGTCCGTCACAAAACTTGTCCGGACTACTGCTCATAAACTACTGGTGCAATTTCATCCAAACTTTACAGGAATGATCAGTACCAAGTCTAGTTGTGCATATTGTCAGCATTTTCCGGTTCAGTGATTTTTGTCAGAGTTATGGTCCTTTAATAATTTTTATTTTTAAAGTTTGTCCGGACTACTTCTCTTATACCACTAATGCAATTTCAATGAAACTTTACAGGATTGATCTGTAGCTCAAGTTCTTGTGCATATTGCACGGGTTTTCCGGTTGAATGATTTTTGGCCGAGTTATGGCCCTTTGACAAAAAGGTGTTTTTTTCTGTGTGTTGCCAGATACACAAAATCTTGTCCGGACTACTCCTCATAAACTACAGGTGCAATTTCATCCAAACTTTACAGGAATGATCAGTACCAAGTCTAGTTGTGCGTATTGTCAGCATTTTCCGGTTCAATGATTTTTGTCAGAGTTATGGCCCTTTAATAATTTTTAATTTTAAAGTTTGTCCGGACTACTTCTCTTATACCACTAATGCAATTTCAATGAAACTTTACAGGATTGATCTGTAGCTCAAGTCCTTGCGCATATTGCACGGGTTTTCCGGTTGAATGATTTTTGGCCAAGTTATGGCCCTTTGATAAAAAGGTCTTTTTTTCTGTGTGTTGCCAGATACACAAAATCTTGTCCGGACTACTCCTCATAATCTACTGGTGCAATTTTATCCAAACTTTACAGGAATGATCAGTACCAAGTCTAGTTGTGCACTGTCCGTCTGTCTGTCTGTTTGTCTGTCACAAAATTTGTCCCAACATGAAATTGGCCATCATGAGGCGACACAGTGATTACTGATCGCTCTTGTACTGTATTATATTATTATATTATAACTTTTATAAGTTATGTTTTTAGTGTCAAAAAATGATGACTAACTGTTCCTTCAAACAAGCTTTACCACACTTCAACAACAACAATCCCCTTGCAAATTTCATTCTCTATTCCCAAGGAAAACTGCACTTCAGTTAGAACAACATTGATAATACAAATTTTTTGGATAGCACTTTGAAAATCAGCAGCTATGCGGAATGCACAGATGTAAAGAATGATATGCAGCTTAATTATATTATTTTGTTACTGAGCTCACTATTACTAGTAGTAAAGGCATGTAACTATAACAACACTATAGTGCTGTGAATTCTATGAAATAATGCTTTGATGCCATTGTGAAATCATTCCATTTAAAGTCTCTTTTTTATAGCGATACACAAACTCATGTATGGTTATAAAGTATTTTTAAGGCTTTTAGCAGTTAAGTTTTGATATTCTATCATGTTTAACCCATACCATTAACTTTTCTAAATAAGTATTGAGTTAGTAGAGATCAGTGCAGACCATGATCAGACAGCATGGGCATGCCAGCTGATCTTTAATGCACTGGTTGCATAATATAGAATTTTGTAACCATCGGGAGGCTAAATGGTAAAGACAAATTGTTTACCAATGTTTTGTTGGGGTGATATCAGTACCTTCTGTTTGTTTCAGAACATGGACATGTTATGGCAGGATTACCTGACAAAATTACAGGATCAAGTCCAAGAACCTCTTACCAAGTACCTCGCCACTATACCACAAATAAAGGTAAATCTTGCTTCCCACTCCTGTATGTTGATGAAGTATTCAGATGAACTCTTTGTTTGTTTATATGCTCAAAGTTTGACTACTGTGAGTTTGTTTTTATTAGTGCAAAAAAGTGAGTTTCTAGTATGTGCATCAATGCTAGAGTGTTCTCCACAAGTTAATGTCAACTTCTTCAGCCAACAGTATAGAGCCTGATTATACCCCGAGGCTAGTCACTTTCGGTTTTAGTAGTGGAAGGGTATATAAAAGTATTATTTTTAGTGCTGGAAGAATTGAGTGACATGTAGGTTAAAAAGTCAAGTTACTTTCATCTCTTCTGTTAAGAGAGTTGTATAATTGTATAGAGTTGTATAGTGATAAAGTGTTTTGAGTGGTGTTGTGGTTGGCTAGATAATGCTTCAGACAAGTATCTAAGGATTGCTGGCTGTGTGGGCTCAAACCTCGTCAAGGGCAAGCCATTGTTTTCTTAAGTAAGAAACCACTCTTTCGTCCAAGAATGATTTTAATTTTAATGGATTGAAGAGTGTGTCTTTAAAAGCTAATAGCTTCCCGTACAAGCAAACTTAATCAGTTCTGTATTAACTAAACTATTAATCAAGTGTTTAAAATGCAGCAAAAGTGTTTTATTAGTAAATATATAAATGTTAGAAACAGTTTAATTGAGGAAACTAACTGATTTGATACTTACACTGACTTCAGGCAATGATGTAAGATTTAGTCTAGCATAGTGTCATTGTGTCTTGATAATGTGGTATGTACGATACTATAGCTCAAGGTTATATATCCACATTTATAAATCTTATCTGTCATTTACATCCATGTTTATACATGTAGATGTATATATAAACAACTTTTAGGCTATAAATAGCTATATTTAATAAAAACAACAACAACAACAAAAATAACACCTGAGAAATCATAATTTTTGAAAAGGGTCCGAAATTCAGGTGAATCTGTCACTTTACCATATAAGAAGTTAAAGATCTCTAAATAATTATTAAATCTGTTGTAATACTTACTGCCTCTAAATTAACCTTTAAACATGAAAATAAATTATTTTTGTATAATAAACTAGTTTAGCCTTGATTTTAGGCATATTGATTGTTCCTATAAGGGGTTAAATATCAAAAGCCAAAAAAAAAAAATAAAATCAGTAGTAAGGAGTCTGCTAACACAGCTTATTTGCTATTTAAAAAAAATGAAATATTAGTCTGTACAAAAGAATTTGATCACTTTTGTTCCCTGAAAAAAGATTTTTCCCTATGATGAGCGAACAGATCAATAAAATATATACAGTTAAACCTGTGCTGATGGTAACTTCCTAATTTTGGCTGACAAGGGTTTTGTTGAAAAATCCCCAACAAATGAACAGGGATCGCTTCCTGTCCATGGCCAGCACTGCCATTAAAACAGCTAGGCTTCCAGGTAGCTGTTTTAAATCTGAACTGTGGTCTGTGTCATTTTTTTGTGGTACCAAACCATGGTTTAAGTCACTTTTTGTTCACTATCAGTTTTTTTGTCATCAACTAACAGTTAATGTGACTTTGTCCTCACCAAACAGCAGTTTATATTACTTTGTTGTCACCAAAAAATGGTGCATTTCACATTGTTATCACCAAACAATGGTTTATGTCCCTACATTATCACCAAACAACAGTCTTTGTCACCTGATAACAGTCTATTTCACCAAACATAAGGTTTAAACTGTATTTAAAGGAACTCCACTGAGTTCCAAAAGCCTTATTACATAAAATTTGAACTTTTTTCATAGATCAGCTGGAGCACTTAAACAAATATATACAGTAATATACCCCTATACAAAATATAATTATGAAATATACGGAAAAAAAAATAGATCGAAAGTTGTATTTTTTGTGTTACTCTTAGCCAAGTTTGAGTGAAAGTATTGTGAAGATTTTCAATTTTTGGTTATTTTTCACAGAATAATTATTTTGTAAAATCGGAGTGAGGGAATGATAATAATTTTTGCACACATGTTGTTGGTCTTAACCTACATCAAATGAAACATAAATGTTGAAAATCTTTTCCAGTCCCGTCATGTCCAAAAAACAAACCTCAGTGGAGTCCCTTTAAAGTAATATATCTGATTTGGTATATTTCAGGCACGGGTATCTAAACGTGGTAGAAAGATGATAGACTATGACAACGCCAAACATGGTCTGGAGGTTCTCCAGAATGCTAAGAAAAAAGATGATGCTAAAATTGCAAAGGTGAGTCAGTAAGTTTTGTAATACTTCATAATTATACAAGTTTTGCAGGATTGAAGACAGACAAAATGATTGTCTCTCATATGGTATATACATGTTTAAAGGCCCATTATGCCTTCAAATTTTTCTATTTAGTATATTGTTACAATTAAAAAAAAATCATTTGCTACATTGATGAACTACCTTTTACATCTTTGCTTTGTTGGCAGGGTGTATAATTATTATGTATGGAAGTCAAAATTTTGCTACCTTTATGTCACATTTCTGCCCATTCTGACAGTGCAACTTTCTTCAGTTAATAAGACATAATTATGTTATTCTCTAAATCCATTATTAAATCATTATTAAGCATATATTGGACATTTCTAAAGAATTGAAAATATATGGATTCCTGATGCAATAATGTGCCTTTAAGGAATAAAAATAAAAACAGTTTCTTGGCAAATAAATTATCTCAATATATTTGCAACATAAGATTCTTTTTGGTTGAAAAAAAAAATGCACATCAATGCAAATTTTCTAGGTTTTGTAAATTTTCATTTTGGTTAACCACATGGTCAATCAAAGCCATGAAAAATCTGTAATGTTGTAAGCAAAATGTAGAAAAAATGTCAATTTGATACTTACTTTTCTCATTGGCATGTCTTGATGTAGTTAAGGTCTTCTTGTATTTCAATATTATAGTAATTTAATAGATATAGGATGCAAAAAATGTTTGGAGTTAACATGAGCTAGGCCAAATGTCAAAGTTTGTGTTTTTTATGGGTACATGGCTCAAATTTCATTATAAAAAGCAGAAAAAAAATTTCTTGGGGGTTTATTTATAAAATTTAGCATGTCCATAGAAATCTTGTATTAAAGACACATGAAGGCCACATACACAGTTGTTTAGGTCATGGAAAACCTGTTTAACAAAAACATCCTCCATAGAATAAGATACAGAGAATAATGAGTAACTTGTATTTTAGGCACAGGAGTATCATAGACTGTGTGATATAAATATTATTTGGTATACAAGAGGACCATTGACTTGTATTTTAGGCAAAAGAGGACCATTGACTTGTATTTTAGGCAAAAGAGGACCATTGACTTGTATTTTAGGCAAAAGAGGACCATTGACTTGTATTTTAGGCAAAAGAGGACCATTGACTTGTATTTTAGGCAAAAGAGGACCATTGACTTGTATTTTAGGCAAAAGAGGACCATTGACTTGTATTTTAGGAAAAGAGGACCATTGACTAGTATTTTAGGCAAAAGAGGACCATTGACTTGTATTTTAGGCAAAAGAGGACCATTGACTTGTATTTTTAGACAAAAGAGGACCATTGACTTGTATTTTAGGCAAAAGGGGACCATTGACTTGTATTTTAGGCAAAGAGGACCATTGACTTGTATTTTAGGCACAAGAGGACCATTGACTTGTATTTTAGGCACAAGAGGACCATTGACTTGTATTTTAGGCACAAGGGACCATTGACTTGTATTTTAGGCAAAAGAGGACCATTGACTTGTATTTTAGGCACAAGAGGACCATTGACTTGTATTTTAGGCACAAGAGGACCATTGACTTGTATTTTAGGCAAAAGAGGACCATTGACTTGTATTTTAGGCAAAAGAGGACCATTGACTTGTATTTTTGGCACAAGAGGACCATTGACTTGTATTTTAGGCAAAAGAGGACCATTGACTTGTATTTTAGGCAAAAGAGGACCATTGACTTGTATTTTAGGCACAAGAGGACCATTGACTTGTATTTTAGGCACAAAGAGGACCATTGACTTGTATTTTAGGCAAAAGAGGACCATTGACTTGTATTTTAGGCACAAGAGGACCATTGACTTGTATTTTAGGCACAAGAGGACCATTGACTTGTATTTTTAGGCAAAAGAGGACCATTGACTTGTATTTTAGGCACAAGAGGACCATTGACTTGTATTTTAGGCACAAGAGGACCATTGACTTGTATTTTAGGCACAAGAGGACCATTGACTTGTATACTTATTGTACAGGTATAACATGGCAACTTGTATTTTAGGCACAAAAGTACCATATACCTTGTGATATTTATATTTGGTATTGACTTGTATTTAAGACACAAGAGGACCATTGACTTTCATTTTAGACACAAGAGGACCATTGACTTGTATTTTAGACACAAGAGGACCATTGACTTGTATTTTAGGCACAAGAGGACCATTGACTAGTATTTTAGAGACACAAGAGGACCATATACTTATAGTACAGGTATAAAATGGCAACTTGTATTTTAGGCATAAGAGAACCATTTACTTTGTTGTACAGATAATGGATGAGTTATTTGTATTTTAGGCACAAGAGGACCTTTGACCCAAGCAAAAAAATCTATGATGAATGAAAAAAGGGAACTTAAATAAAAGAAATCCCCCAGAATTTTATAATGGGTCTGATTTAAAATAAATTTATATTTTCTTGTTTCCTTAAAATTTTAAACCCTTTAAGATCCTGAAACCCCTTTAATATCAGTGGACTGCCCCAAATTTTAAAAGCGGGAGATTTTAAATTTTATACAAAAAAATTTGGAGGTCAAGATTAAAAAAAATCGGGGTTTACCATTTGTCAGGTGAATTTTTAAATGATTGAAAGATTAAAAAAAAGGGTAAATTCCAGGAAAAAATGACATCAAAAAGAAACCCAAAAAAATTTATCCCAGATGTCTTATACATGATTTTTGTAACACCAGAAAAATTTATTTTTTTATTAGTCTTTACCCCGATTCCCCAAACTAAAAATTTATCACGGAGACATGACGGGAGATATGAGTGGAATGTATAAATCATTGACAGTGATGACAAGGTTTATCAAATGACATAATATCAGGTTATAATGTGTGAATCAGCATACATTAACCGATAAAATCATTCTACTGAAACATTTTTTTGATTCTCATGGTCAATTACACACACTTGAATTCTTTCAGAATTTGAATTTTTTTAAACTTTTTTTATTAATGGCCCATTGTGCCCAGAAATGCTTTTATTTTTATTTCTCAAAAGTTTTTTATTTTTGGTGTACTTTTATAGTATCCAAAAAGTTACTCATTGACAAATTACCTTAACAATTCTGAGAGTTTGTAAGGTTGTAGTGATTTAGTATTTATATAGGAGTAAAAAAATCTATTTTTGTTTTACATTTTGGAATTCTTTTTTTAAAGACAAATAAAATTTTCTATTTTTGTGTGAAATTTCTTAGGTCATAAAACATTTTTCCACTCTCTAAAACCATTATTTAAAAAATTTTTTCAAAAATTTATTGTCCAAAAAAAGTAAAAAAATAATTTGTTTTTGTTGGGATAATGTGCCTTTGGACTTTGGATATGAGTTTTTGTTCCAATTTCTTTTTTTGTTTTAAAAATTGTAAGGTTTTAAAACAGTTATGAAATTTTTATTGTATTTAAAAATGAAACTAAATTGACAGTTTCTTTTTACGTGTATTTATTTCAATAGTTTTTTATTTTTGGGATTTGTTTTCATTTTTTATGCCCGTAAAGAATAAATATTGTTTTTTTTTTATGCCCCCAAAAAAAACCCCAAAATTTTTTCTTGTAAACAAATTTTATTATCTGAGATTGACTTGAGCACCTGTTTTGGGGTTTATGGTTTATATTTTATACTTACCAAACTATTTCCTATATCCAAAAATTTGCTTGTCTGAAAAATATAGAAGGCTAGTAAAAATAATGAAACTTTTTGTGTAAAACATACATAATTACATATATATTTATACTGCTGTAAACCAGTTGCTCAAAAACAGCCAGGAATCAGAAAATAAAAATGTCCTTTGTGAGATTCAAACCCACAATGATAGTAGGCAAGTGATTCTGAGAATGAAATAGGAGGTAATGTCTCTGAGAATATACTTGTTGCTTTGTTCATCCATCTTTTCCATCATTACACCCACACATCTGTTTCTCTATATTTATACTGATTTGAATCTTTTTAAAATTGCTTGGATGTTACAAAATCAAGTGAAGATGTGTATTACACATTCTTAACCTTGTAAGATGATTTTTGTAAAGTTATGACCCTTTATACTGGCACAAGAAGCCTCCATGGCTTTTGTTTTTTTTTTTGCTACCAAATTCTTTACTTAGCAAATATATTATAGTTTAAAGGCCTCTTCACTGATTGTATCTCTATGATATACAATAAACTGTACCCCTTTAAAGCAACACCCCTCTGGAATGACCATTCAAATATACTGTATATCACTTAAAGGGTGTTGCTCTGCAGATGTTGTACTGTATTAACAATGTAAATGTTTGTATATATTTCAGTCGTGTTGTTTTCTATGGCAACTTATTCCAGAGTTTATTCACAGCAGAAAGTGTGTTCCAGACCGAGGCTGGCAAGGTCAGTATCATTGGGAGGGAGTATCTCTTACTTAAATGACCATCAGTTATTAGTACATGCATTTTATCTGATTGTGAGATGTAATTTTGAAAATATTTGAGGGTTGACTGCAAAACTGCAGTAACTTATATAACATAACATAAAAGACTTACAACAATTTTGCGATCAACCCTCAAAATGTACTCAAAATTTTTGGGACTATAGGAAATTTAAAATATTGATAAAAGTTTTTTTGGCCACTGTTGCCAAATGGATGAAATCGATGAGTACAAATTTTTGGCAAAAACAGCAGTTCACTTTTAAAATATTAGGACACATTTTATGTGTACTTGTTAATGATGAACAATTTGTAAATCTCCTTTTAGGTATTACTTACTGTTTAGAGTATATATTGTAAGTAACTTACATAATTTCTACCTTTACAGACATGATCGTGTTTCATTTTCTACTAAAATTAACGGTTTAATATTTCAACATATATATAGCATAAAATATTTTTAGATAAGGAAATATAAATTAAATGCTACTATACCCTGTAGGTGTGGGGATTGGCCCCAGACTGTCACTTTGCTATGGTAAGTTTAAGATCTCCTGCCATATGTTACTTAGAAAAGCATGGGCTTGTGTTGCTACTCCAATTTTCTTTGTTCTTAAGATTTATGTAATCATTTTTATTTACGAAAACTTATTTATGAAAAGACGATATTTGAATTGCTGAAAGTTGTCATTGCTGGGCAGGGATAAACATTAATAATGTATGTGATTATGTATATACATGTATATATAAGTATATATAAATGGAATTTGTACTAAATTTGGGCAACTGTGGACATATAATTTGGAGACATTGTTACACGGGTTGGAAAATTATTCACATTTTCTGTTGATAGTAGCTTGTTGTAATCTGGTTAATTTGCTCAAAGCATTTTGATATAAACCACCCCAATTATTTTTTTGTTATTTATTTTATGCAGCAGATATTGCCAAGCTTTCTTTTTATTTAATTTTTATGTAAATCAGTTTTGGTATACATATTTCTGTGTTTTATTTTTTATCAAAATCACGATCATCTTCACACCATTTTCTTGTCACTTACAGCTGATATGCCATCCATATGCTTTATAGGGAATGATTGAAGTGATATGATAAATATTTTTAAAGAGAGAAATCAAGAACCATAACTTTGCATGTAACTCAGTAATTCTGAAAGATACTGTTTTTAATATAACCATGCTCTTGACAGTGTAATGCTCTTGACAAAGTCATGCTCTTGTCATTGTTATGTTCATGACATTACCATGCTCTTGACAGTGACATGCTCTTGATGTTGTCATGTTTGATATTGAGATGTTACCATGCTCTTTGATGTTGTCATCCGTTTGACATTGTTATGCTCTTGACATTGTCATGTTCTGGACAGTACCATGCTCTTGACAGTGACTTGATCATAACCTTATTTTCCTGACATAACCATGCTCTTGACATTGTTAAGTTCTTGTTATTACCATTATCCTAACAATGACATTCTCTTGCTGTCATGTTTTTGACATTGTCATACTCGTGATATTGTCATCCTTTTGACATTGCCATTCTTTTGACATTGTCATGCTCTTGACATTATCATTTTTAAGGTCAAGCAACAATCTGACCATTGACCTGCATGCAAGAATGCCACTTGCCTGAGAACTTATGATTTTGCACACATATTTCAATATATGTAAAAAAGGTGAAAAGGCTTCCAATGTGGAAATATATCTCGATATTAGTAAAAAAAGGTGAAAAGGCTTCCAATGTGGAAATCACTGATATTTCAATATTAGTAAAAAAGGTGAAAAGGCTTCCAATGTGGTAATCACTGATATTTCAATATTAGTTTGAAAAGCAATGTGGAAATCTGGAATGGTATTGTTCTTTTGTAAGTTCGAATAAAAAGAGTCTGAAATACAGCAATTAAAGAAAAGTAAGGAAAAATGAAAAATAACAAGTTTATGCTGTTGCTCTTTTTATAAAATTCCTGAAAAAAGTAAGAATGTTTAAACTTGTTTAAATATTCAGTACTAACAACTTTGTTCTGGTCTGTTAAAAGAGAAGACCATTAAAACTCAAAAGTAACCATCATCCAAAAGTATGACGCTGAGGCATAGGGTATCCTTTTATGTCTTGAATTATGTACTACACTACATGTGTATTTGTGGATAGTTAAACACCACTATTTGATTTTTGTCGTAATGATGACCTGAATTTTATTTGTTAATTTGATTTTGTGTATTTCTCTACACAGGGTAGTCAGACTATCAGCGACTCAGGAGCTAAGTTGGCGAGCGACCACGAGCATCACACATACACACCTCGTAAAAATATACGCAGTACAGTCGTCCCCGGGTATGTGAACATTTAATTTGTACTATGACAAAAATTTTGATCAGTAATGATCTCCCCTTACAGTACACTAATCAATAATGTCAGGTTTTTTTGCAAGTTTATCTTAATATAATTTATTTAGTAGATTATCTCCCCTAATAGCGTTATAATTGCATTTGTCAAACATTTTTGTACTTTTGTTACTTGAAGGTGTATATTTTCTGTTAGATTTTTTATACTTTGCTTAAATAATCTTTAATTGAGAACACATTATGATAATAGTAGTGTAAGTATTGCAGTACCTAGCAAATGTTTTGTTACTGTAAGGGGAAGTCACTGTGTAGATAACTAATTACAGACTGTCAATTTGTAGATTGCTTACACATTATTTTTTAAACACATTCTAGGAAAGGCTTTTGTTACTCAGTTGAAAGTTATTAGCTACCTATTTCACATTTAGACATTATAGTTAGCTTGTTGCCCTTAGAATGCGTTATAGTTTTGATAAACATGGATGCTAATTAGATTGCCAAATCATACTTGTATTCTTTTGCTCTGTAGTTAGAAAGCTTTAGAGCCAAAGTCGTTGGCTGAGTATAGAGAGCACTGTGTTTTTATACTACTGTGTCTATGCATTTTAAATTTGGCCAACTTTAGTCCAGGGCATGGCACATGCATTTTCATGAAGATTTAATAGATAGGAATATTTGTTTTGCCATCCCCCCTGCACTGCTGTTTGAAATGTCTTGTGTGGAGAAGAGAAAAAAATACTTTATCAGCTGAGGACATTTCATTATACAAATAAATCTCAAAAGATAGTATAGAATATTTTGTGAATGAAAAGAAAAACAAAACAATAAAAAACAAAACAAAAAAACCCCTACAATAATCTGTTATCCGCAAAATTATAATATATTGCAAAATTTCACTTCATTTGATGTAAAAATTTTTTGGTTGAATCTTATATTTATATATCATGTCTTGTATATTTTATGTCCTATATAATAAATCATGTCCTGTTTTAATCTCATTTGTTGACATTTTTTGTTTGAATCTGGTTTATATATATAATCATTATGATAATGTCATATATTACAATTTCTTTTTGAATCTCACTTGTTACAAGTCCTTTTTTGAATCTCTTATATTACAAGTCCTTTTTGAATCTCATTTATTGAAAGTCCTTTTTTAATCTCATATATTTTTGTCATGTCCTGTTTTTAATCTCATTTATAACATGTCCTGTTGTAATCTTATTAATCATGTGTCCTGTTTAAATATGTTAGTCTGAGAAATCATTATTTTATGTTATTTGTGTGTTTATTACACCTTCCTAGGAGGGACAGGGGTGATGCCTACCGGGATAGCCTCCAAATTCCTTTCTTTTTCCGTTATTCAATGTCAAGGTGAGATTAGATCAGGGATTTTTTACACTAATGACCATCATTACTTTAATTGACCATTCAATCTCATCATACTAATGGAATAATGGATTTTTTTAAAATTTATTTTTTACTTTTTTTATGTCAGAATCAATACTAATACAGATAAACTAAATAAGAATAATTGTAACCATTCATCATGTTCATTAATCAATATGTTCTTCATCAGGGATTCGTGAAAAATATAAGAAATTTTGCAAGGTGTTTGCTGTCTAAAGATATGCATGGTTTGATTGGAATAGCTTGAAGTTTTGCTTTGGTAACAGTTAAATACATTTTATACTTGAAATCGAGAACAGAATGAATTGAAAATACATAAAAGGAGTGTTTCAGAAGACAAGTGTGTTAGATGCATTGTCTGGAATTATTTAATGTTTTAAGATTTATGTCAATTGTTTTGGTGCAAGAAAGGATAATTGTCATAAATGGTTAGAGATTTGTGTGATTGAATCCATGTAAAACTTTTGGGATTCAGTGGCCGAGTGGTTCAGGTCATTGACTACAAACTACTTGCCGGTTCAAATCCTGACAGGGACTTTGTATTCTTTCATTTGAGGAAGCTATCCAGCTAGCTTACAGAATGTCAGTGGTTCTACTCAGGTGCCCATTTAATTTTGTGCCTGAAGTTATGCATGGAAGGGCACCTGAGGTCAACCATCTTCCTTCACCAGTAAGTCTGGAAAGTCGCCATATAACCTATACTGTGTTGGTGTGATGTGAAACCCAACCAAAACAAACTACTGACTTTTGATTTGTGGGTTTGAATCCTGGTTGGGATCCATATTTCCTGTAATGATTGTATTTTTATCTTAATAATCTAATACTGTATGACCCCTGCTACAGTTAAATGATTTGTTGAAGTAGGCGATTACTTGTGAAGAAAAAGGGACAGTCTTCTTTAAAAGGACATTTTTGCAAAATGGAAATGAAATCATTAATGAATTAAATATTTTGAGTTATCTGTTTATCATCAACATTATAATAATGTTTTGAACTGCTTTTATTTGGTCATGGTTGAATGATTGTTATGTACATGGGTGTGTACCAGTAAATGGACAGGTGATTCAATTGATTTGCATGCTTGCATTTTTGAATAACAAAACTTTATTTTCATAGATGATTGTATATTGATAATCCAGGTAAATTACGGTGATGTAAGCAATAAATAATTATGTATCGATGACTCGAATTTTAGACAATTTCACTATGTCAATATTTGATAGAATTCTTAGACGGGCATGGCATAAACAGTGGTAAATTTTGATATTGTTTCTAGAAAGTAGTAAAATTTTCATTGTAATATGTGCCATTATTTTTGTTATAGTTTAAAGTAGAAAATACTTCATGTCATGGAATGAATTTCTTTTCATTTTTTTTAGGCTGGCCTACAAACTTTATAATTTTTTTTTATTATTTTTATTTGTTCTTTAACATCTTACTTATTTCTTATTTATTTTGTTAGTTAGTTTATATTCTTAGTTTAAAGTTAACTATATTTTTTAGAATTTTTTCATTTATATTTGAATGTACATGTATTTTATAAATGTTCACCATTTGAGCCGCGCCATAACAAAACCAACATAATGGGTTTGCGACCAGCATGGATCCAGACCAGCCTGCGCATCCACGCAGTCTGATCAGGATCAATGCTGTTTGCTATCAGTTTCATTACTTGTAGTAGGGATTGTAAGTGAACAGCATGGATCCTGATCAGACTGAATGGATGTGCAGGCTGGTCTGGATCCATGCTGGTCGCAAATGCACTATGTTGGTGTTGTCATGGCGTGGCTCATTTAGATCTTAGTACTTTTATTTCAATTAATCATACACTACAAACACTTTTGTTATTATGTCCTCTTCCTTGAAAGTAACTGTATTATGCTTGTCATTGTTTATGTGAGTTTATGGAAATTCTTTGTCAATCTTAAGTCAAAAGAAAACAAATTAAAAGAAATAAACACAATTTACAAATGCAAGAATAGAAAAAAACTTCCTGTTTGTGTTTTTATGTATTTGCTTGATTTTTTTTTATTAAGTGCTTACAACTAGCTGTTAGATACCTTCCTCTTTTAGTTACTTTACATGTTTTTGATAAAATTTCACGGTACAAGGCTGTTTGCAAAAGTAGTATTTTCATTTTCGTTCAAATGGGCATAATTATATCTGTATATATATAATTCCTCATGTCCGAACTCCAAACAGTGATTTTATTTAGTGATAAAATCACTGTTTGGGATATATTATTTCTTAAATATAAATGTGTTATGTAATTAAATCATGATGTAAGTTAAATGTAAATGCAACATTTTCTCAGGGTCATTTAACTAGACAGAAAATTAGTAAAAATTAGTAAATGTGGGAAAAATCTTCTGGTTTATCCATTGTTTGAAGAAATGTGTAACAGTTTTATGATTTTTTATTCTCACAGGGATGACAGTATAACGAACGGTCATGTTGAAAATGGACCTGACAGTCCTCAGCCCGACAGTCCAACCCCGAGCAGCTCCCCGAACTCTCCCACCAGTCCAGAGCCAGTCAGCTCTACAGAGCCCCTGACAAACGGCACGCCTGATACTGATACCAGTAAAGAAAGCATTGAACAAGGTAAATCTTATGTATACCTGCTCCATAGTTTCACCATAATTTCAAACGATGGTATATCTTTTGTTTAATGTTTATACAGTAACAACTGACTGAAACCTAAGAACTCTCTTGTAAACATGCACCATGCAAGTATAAATGTTGCTCTGTTTTTGTAAAGTTTTGTTCTTAGTAACTTTTCAGTAATTTATTGTCAGGCAGTTATGTAAGGTGTGTCAGGAGAGAGTTTCATATCAGCTCCAAGCTTTCTACTCAATCCTGGTTGTAATATATGCATTGTAATTTTGTTAAAAAAAGTTTGAAAGAAGAAATAAATATTGTTTATACCACGGAGTGTCCTAGCATTCAACACTAGTATTTACCTGTTGTTTCACAAGAATCTGTCATCTGCCAAATTCTGTACCAAGCTTTAAATACTCAGTATGGGCGAAGAATGACTGAATATATGAGCCGCGTCACTACAAAACCAACATAGTGGGTTTGCGACCAGCATGGATCCAGACCAGCCTGCCCATCTGAGCAGTCTGATCAGGATCCATGCTGTTCGCTTACAAACCCTATAACAAGAAGTGAAACTGATAGCGAACAGCATGGATCCTGATCAGACTGCACGGATGCACAGGCTGATCTGGATCCATGCTGGTCGCAAACCCATAATGTTGGTTTTGTTGTGACGCGGCTCATATGGTCTCATTAAATGAACCTAGTTGCAATGCCATCAGGAGTGTGGTCACTTAACTGAGATGTTTAGCAATGTTTCAAAGTAGTCTTAACTAGGAAAATGAAAATTCAACTTTATTTAAGACATATATCAAGGAAATAAAGCAATATTTATCCCTTGTCTTATTGACATGGATCTTCTCCTATAACAAATGGTTGAAAGGTTGTGTTACTGTATGTAATCAAGTAAGTTTATAATTAACCCAAATGATAACAACGTGGGTGATAATATTTCAGATGATTATGTAAACACACAATTTAAAGAACAAGAGAGAAAACTAAGTGAATCTGACACATCTAAAGATACTGAGGTCAAGGTTGAAGAGGTCAAGGACATAGAGGTCAAGGATGTTCCCACTGACAAACCTGCAGAAAGTGAACAGGAGGGCAAGCCAGCTTCTGAAGAAAAGGTAAAATTCAATTCTTCAGCTAATGATGGTGTTAAAGTGAAATCTACAGCATCTATTACACTTAAACATGATCTTAACTCGTGGAAATTGACAGGTGAATTAACCAATCAGTTTGAAGATAGTAGAAGAACCAATCAGCAATCAGGCTCATTGACCAATGAAAATGAAGCTTTAACATATTATGAAAATACATCAGTGAATGAAAATTCAGAACCAGAAAGTGATGATTCATATGTAAATCTTGTCATAAGGTCATGTAAAATGGCTAAGAGAGAAGAAAGGAGAAAAACAGATCTCCAAAAAGTTGACATTTTAATAGATCCTATATCAGGACACAGAAGTATTTCTATTGAGGAAGATAATACTGATTTTCTTGATAATGTTATATATGATACATGTACACCAAGAGAAACAGTTTCCGAGACCCGGCTAGCTCAAGCTTCCCAGAATTCAGTACTTGAAAATAAAAGAAAGAAGGTAAAATGGCGTGACTGTGTGACAGGGCTTTGGAAAATCTATATGTGTATTAATCAGAAAATTTAGATTTCAAAACTTAATTTCACTAAAACAAAGCAACTCAAATGTAAAAAAAAACAAAGTAATTTAAAACTCTGAATTGCACGCATAATTATGATAAAAAATAATAAATCGCTTGTTCCAATTATGATATGGTGAAGCCTGATAAATATTTCTACTTAACCCATTACTTCATATACACGCCTTTTAACGCCTTTTCCACCCCCCCCCTTTTTGTTGTCTCAAATGGTGAAAAAATGCATTATTTTGGCCCTTAACACTTGTTTGTGTTTGAGAAATGTTGTTAAAAAAAAGTGACCACTTTTTCGGCGCGGCCCCCCAACCAAAAGATACATCAGGGGGTTGCCAGAAGGGGGATGTACCCCCTTCTGTTTGGGGGGTTTGAAGGGGGGCGGAGTCCCCCTCATCGCCAAGAAAATTTTGGACTTGTGAGAGGCTATAAATGACCCCAGATTGATCATAAGGTAACGTCTAACCAACGCTGAAATGCATTTGACTCTATCTCAATCCATTGAGAAGTTGCAGCACTTTGAAATCAATTATGATGGAAAAAATCAACGCAAAATAGTGATTTTTGGCAATTTTGAGATGTCCCCTCGTTGCCATGGTAACAGGAAATTTAAGCCTGAGCATGTTGTTGCAAGGGCAATGGTCCAGTCAACATTTGTGCCAAGTTTGATTAGTGTTGAAGCAGGTTTTATAGCATGATAGCAATTTTAACTTGTAACGGGATACTTTTCAATGAAAACAGCCATTTTTCACAAAATGCTCATGAAGTAAAGGGGTTAATGAAAAAAAAATAAAAAATCTACAAAACAACAATTTTTCTTCAAATTTATATGACAGGCCATGTTTAAACAAATGGAAAAACGCAATTTAGAGTAATTTCAAGTATTTTCATCATTTTCTGTTAACCCATTACTTCATATACACGCCTTTTAACGCCTTTTTCACCCCCCCCCCCCTTTTTGTTGTCTCAAATGGTGAAAAAATGCATTATTTTGGCCCTTAACACTTGTTTTTGTTTGAGAAATGTTGTTAAAAAAAAGTGACCACTTTTTCGGCGCGGCCCCCCAACCAAAAGATACATCAGGGGGTTGCCAGAAGGGGGATGTGCCCCCTTCTGTTTGGGGGGTTTGAAGGGGGGCGGAGTCCCCCTCATTGCCATGAAAATTTTGGACTTGTGAGAGGCTATAAATGAACAGTGTAATATTGAACAGTGTAGATCTAAACCCTGATCAGACAGCACAGATGAATCGGCTGATCTTGGTCTGCGCTGGCGGCATTGATAGAATCTGTTGCCGTCAGATGGCTATGGGCTTAAGTTATTGTTCTTTTTTTCTTAAACAAATAAAAGAAAAGGGAGTGGGTTTATCTCAATATTCCAGGAACTTAATTTTTTTGAAACAGACTATAGACTATTATCATATCCACCATTGACAATAATTATGAGAAATGAGTTGTTAAGTGAAACTTGTTTTATCAATGGGATTCAAATTCATTGTTAATTGTTTAAAACCATGTATATTTCCTTGTTTATAATTATATCCTTTAAAAAAAAAAACATTTACTATTCAACCTTGACCTGCTCAACCGACAACTTTCAGCATTTGCTGTAAATATAAAGCTTCTTTAATTTTTTTTACATTCTAATATTCCCCACATTTATAATGGACCATTCCAAAATGTCCAAATTGGAAAAGTTCATTTTAGAAATTAAGCTGGTCATGGATTTAAAAGCATCAACATTAAATCTGTTGGTTATTTATTATTTTGTAAAAATTAATTGCGTAACTCTGGTGGTTATTTATTATTTTGTAAAAATTAATTGCGTATTGAAAATTACAGGGGAAATATTTTCGGCTTCACCACCTAATCATATCATTATTTGATTATTTTCTTTCTAAACTCATACTTACCAGATAATTATATTACAAAAGCTTACTTTTAAATTAAATACTTGACTAGCAAATATTAAATTTGACAGTTACTGTTAGCGATTTTAACATCTAAAAATAGATTCTTTCTATGCTCGAAAACTCTTTATCAAATAGCCAAAACATTTCTGCACCCTGGACACTTTAAAAATGAATAATAATCTTGTGTCGATGAAATTCTTCTCTTATATATGTAACATGCTAATATAACTCAAAAAGCAGAGCTTTAGATTAATTTTAGTTCCGGTTGGAAATTTGAATCCAAATGACCTTCAAATAGTGGTGTTAACAACATTTAGAACGGACTTAATAAAAATCTATGATTAATTGCTTAGTTATGCATGTCTCTAAAGAAAACCTATAAAAAATAGATATCAATTTAAAGGTATGTATTGCCTATTTAATCATGGAATATTAAACAATAACAGAGGCAACTAATTCTTAAACTAAATAAGTTTTTTTTAAAAAAAAAATACCTGTAGTCATTCGTTATTTTTGTTCTCCTCTGATTCTCTTAATTTTGTTGTTTCCGAATGTCATTTTTTCTCTTTGACTCTGTTCTACTATTCTAAACTGTAACCAATCTTAGATCAGTTTCACTTAAGTATAATATAATTAAAATGAAAAAAAGAAAAAATGAAAATTAAAAAGTTTTAGAAATCACTCAGGAAACAAATTATAAATAACTTTATGTATCTACATCACAAAGTTTTTCGGCATCAAAAGTTTGAGGTTGATAAACTTTGTGATGTAGATAGAAAAAAATAAATTGAAAATGATTTCAACAAAAAACTTGAAAATTGTGAATTTTGACTTGGTTAGATATTATTGGGTACATGGCTGTACTGTGCAGGTGGAAGTGTTTGCACTCACTGTAAAATAGTTGTAGCTGAGGTCATTGATTTTAATGCACTGGGAAGTTTTTGGATGTGTTTTTGAGTCACTTTTTACATGTAAGAAAGGAAAATCCAACACAAATTTCCAATCCTTGTAAATGTTTTATGTTGAATAGATTTAGTTATATGTTTTCAATAGCTTGGTCTTTTATTACGAGGATATTGTTTGAAATATGTTTATCTATGTTAAATTTATCAATTGAACTTATAGCAAAATTTACATGCACATGTTTATAAATACAGTCGACTCCACTTATAACGAACTCGCTTATAACGAATTATCGTTAATAGCGAACTAAATCTGACATCCCCGGCCGATTCCTTCTTTATTTTATATTAAATCACATCGCTTAATATGTACTCGCTTATAGCGAATTTTCGGCTATAACGAACCATTTTTCAAGGCCCCAAATGACGGAAAACATTTAAATTTCCT